AAAGAAGGTAGAGGACTCACTACAGCCAGCTTTTAAAAACGTATGTATTTGAAAGACAGAGAGATAGACAGAGAAATCTCCTGTCTGCTGGTTCACTCCCCAAATGCCTGCAACAGCTAGGGCTGGGTAGGGTGGAAGGCAGGAGCTCGGAACTCCATCTAGGTCTCCCATGTGGATGGCAGGACTCAACTACTTTACTTGAGCCATCACAGCTGCCTCCCAGGGTGTGTGCATTGGCAGGAAGCTGGAGTCAGGAGCTGGAGCCAGGGACTGAATTCAGGCACTCTGATAGGAGGTGATACGGGCCTCTTAGCTGGAGTCTTAGCTACTAGAGTAAACACACGCCCTTGGAGTCCGTGTGGAGCAGCTCAGCATTGGGGTGCCGTATTGGGGTGCCAGCTAGAGCCCAAGTTCCTCTGCTTCTAATCCAGCTCCCTGCTAATGCACTTGGGAAGGCAGCAGATGATAGCCCAAGTACTTGCGCCCCTGCCACCCATGTGGGAAACCTACATGGAGCTCTTGGTTCCTTGCTTTTGGTTGGCCCAACCCCAGCATTGAGGCCATTAGGGGAGTGAAAGATCTCTCTTTTGCAAATAAATAAATCTTTAAAAAAAAAACATGCGCCCCTACAGCTAGATGTTTCTAGGGACGTTGTCTGATGAGGGTTTAGACTCTAATCGCCTCTCCCCACTCCCACAGCAAGGGGCCATGCACCAGTCAGTGTCACATCCCATTCTTCTGCTTTCCCGGCACTCCACACCAATGCCGAACTGAGCAGCGACGGCTCCCGGCAATGCGACATCACCTCCGCCAGCAGCACCGCTGCCGTACTGGGGGGATGCACTCTAAAGGCTGGACAGGAGAAGTCACTGTTTCTTTGGGAAACTCCTCCCGAGCCACCTGCAGAGAAGCTCCCTGGAAGGAGAGCAGTCGGGATGCTGCTGCAACGTCGTCGCCATCCTTGGGTAATGACTGTGTGTCATAAATAGGATATGGCATTTCGGAATGTCTTTAAAGCTATTGCCTTTTGTTCAACTAATTTAATTTACCAAATGCTCCTGGGAAAAAGGAGGGGGACCAAGATGCTGACTCCACATTTCCTGAAAAACCCAACATTTTCTTTTTAAGCTGCTCTCTAAGAAATTACATCCGATTGCTGTCTGCTGTCTCCCTCCAACTCTGCCTCTGTCAAAATCCTGCCCTGGCAGGTGCGAGAGAGAATAGATGCAGAACTTGAGTGAATACCCACATCTGTTTTTGGAAAAAGGGAACAGAAGCAGCACAGAAGGAAGTAAAAGAGGTAATTGCTGGCTTGAACTACAATACATTTTACTTGTGGGCAGAGGGCCAGCTTATGGCAGGCGGACTACGCAGGCCCAGCTTATTGGAATTCAGGGGTGGGCCTCCGCTCTCGTCCAGAGACAGCTGTAAACCAGCAGCCCATAGCATCGCAATCAGGCGCCGAGTTTTGTCAAGGAATGCTGATATGTACAGAAGCAGCCCTGTCCGCTTCAGCGGTACCCCTGCCTGGTGAGATGACAGTCAATCTCTGATTCCAGATGACAAGGACTGGATAAAAACTTAAAACAAATGGCGACCTTTCCAAAGATTAATTTGTTTACCAACAAAATGTTCCCTCTTTTGTCATCTGAGATGGGGGTGACCTTCACTTTCCCGGATCCAGGCTGGAGGGATGCTGACTGTAGTCATCTGTTAAGTTAACTCCGTCTCAGCAATTATTCCCTTTTTTATTTTTAGTGACAAGAAGGCTTTATTAATTCACTCGGCTTCTTGTTATGGTTTATAAATGCAACAAGCTCATTCTGAATTACTGCAGTGTAACATCAATTTGTTTAAATCTAATTCTGCTACCGTTGCCAAATTATGTTGTGACTGTAATTGTGGCCGTGTGCACGGGCTTCAAACACAATCGTGTCTTAACATCGTCCTTCCTTCTACAGCCCCTGCAACCCCCCCACCCCTGACTTCTGGTACTGCTTCTAATCATTCGACATTAACACAACTGCCTCACTCTCCATTACTTTACCATCTCAGAAATGCAAGTGCTTTCCGTGAGAGATTACTACACACACCCCAAGTGAAACAGTAAAGAATGAAACCATGATTTGTGAAGTGTGCTCGCTCCCCAACTAAGTTAGTGCAAAACACTGCATAACATATGACTCATAAAATCTAGAAATCATAATAGTATTAAATTCAACCTCATGAATAAATAAAAGATTCTAAGTTTACATTGCATTATATATTTATTTATTTGGAAAGTGGGACCAAAGCACTGGTATAATTCTACAGCAACTCATATCTTGCCAAAAAGAAAAATGTTTTTATGATTCTTTTCTAGGTCATAACAGTTATAATCAGGGTTATTTGTGCAGCAATTCAAAGCAATGTTTTGTTTGGCTATTTTGTTATGCATTCATAATCGTTCTTTTAAAATTCATGTTCACAGATACATGATTCCAGCCTTTTAAGAAACCGTTTTTATCTTTACAAAAATAAATCAAAGTCAAATTTTCTGTAGCTCTTTTAAAGTGCTGCATTAGAAGGTCTGAGCTGGAAAGAGACGTCAGTGAGCAAATAGGAGCTGCACCAGGAACTCCTTCCTGTCTCCCCGTACCTGTGAGGATCTACTGAAAAACACACACAGGGCTGATCTAAGATCATGAAAAGGTCATCCATGAGCTCCCATTTTCAAGCACATTTTTATGAATTGATTTTACATAACAGAGTCATCGAATTTAATGAAGGCAGTTTTGTGATCTGAGTGTGTGTACGGGCATGGGGGCAAGGTATCGCCGCAACGCACTAAAATCGTTGTGCTGGCCTCTTATTGTCAGAAAGGGTACGCTTTTTCATCAGATAGAGAGCGTATCAGCTATAGGAACTCCGGTTCTACACAGGCTGCACCTTCTGATCTGCTCTGTTGAAAATGACCAGGAGTTTTTACAGGTTTTTGACATGCTGTTCAAGTTGCATAAGACCGAAGGAAACACGTGGCCCTCCGTCAGCAAATAATAATACCCTTTGAGTGTTTAGGGTTGTTCTAGAAAGCCCTGACCTTGGTGCTGCTGTCCTAATTAGCAACACATCACACTGCTAGACACACTACTTCAAAATAGTTTCTTAAGTGGCAAATCATGACTGTATTTATCCCCAGATGTTCCGTGTGGTTGTTAAAACCAAGAACCTGAATGCTTGTCTCACATGAGTTTTTGCACAATGCTTCTGTTTTATAATTCCAAAATAAAAATTGTGTTTTTCAGTTAGTACCACCCTATATTGATATCAATACAAAATGATAGGGTCAGTTAATGATTTTGATCGAAAGGCCAGCAGTCAGTTGGAGCAGACACACTGTCCTTCCCAATCTTAAAATGCTCTAGTGTAGATTCTTATGCCATCGTTTTACGAGGAAAATAAGGGATCATTCATAAATAGATGTATGTTATGCTCTCTATTTGTTGCACAAGACAAAGTGCTTTCTCTAATTTCCATTGCTCAAAATACATGGACACAGTATCTCTAAGGCACTCGGACTACTTGGAGATTAGAAAAAAGATGCAAGAAATGACTAAGATGTTGCCCCCAATTTTGGATATAATTTTAAATTCCCTATTGCAGTCTGAATCTTCACTCAATTAATAAAGCCAAGCACAATGCCCGGTACATCTAGAGGTTTGCCTTTAAAACACGGATGCTCAGAGAAAGTTTGCATGCAACGCAGCAGCTGCCTGGGGCTAGGAATCTTCAGCACTCCACCAGCTAAGCCAATATTAATTCTAGATTGAAGAGGAAAACAAACAAGGACAAAAGAGAAATCTGCTTCTGCCTGTGCAGCCAGAGAAATAACATTTTTATTTTGGAGGCTTTGGGCTCATGGGAAACAGATAAAAACCCTTTCACATTATTCACAGTGACATTTTAAATAAAGTTTCAGCAGAAATAAAAATATCTAACTTTCTGGTGATTTCTTAGGCTATAAAGTAGTTCTGTGATAAAGTGCTCTTAAACTAAACCTGTTCGAATGACAGAAAGCACGTATAAAGACACTGAAAATATATTTTAGGGTCACCCAAGTGAAGCAAGCAGTTGAGAATGCCTAAGTGGGGAATCTGGTGGCTTCATCTAAGACACAATTCTGCCAGGTCCAAGCAGCTCTGCATCGAATCCTAAAATTAGTCTCATTTTCAGATTATAGTTAAGAGTATTTGAGAGATGAAGGTTAAAAGTACATTTAAGAAGGAGAGATGTCACCTCCGTGTTTTTAGCATTAGAAATTAGAAATTGTTTCTAGCATTAGAAATGATCTTAAATTAAAAAGTTAAAACCAAGGGCTACTCTTAATTCTCCCAAGAAAACCTCACGACACAGGAGTCCAAGTCTCGCTTTGGGACACTCTGGCTGCGAGTCCACAGCACACAGCCGGAGCAGGCAGACTGGAGATCCCTCCACGCCCATCTCATCTGATTATGTTCCCCTCTCGTGACTTTGTTGAGGGAAAGGGCTAGACCCTGCCTGCTTTAGAGGTAGAGTGATATTCATAAATTTTGCCATTGTCTACGCTTATGAGTACGCGAAGTGGATGTCACACTTTTGTTTGCCTTTGATTTGCCTAGTGGTAAGCCTGCTATTTAAAGAAATAAAATATCTACCATTTCTCTATTCTTCTTGCTGTCCAATTGTTTCCTCCTTGTGAAAATGATGGTACTAGATTATTTAGGAGTCTCCAATAAAATAGAGAAATTTGGATGAGCCGCAAATAGATCTTGTAAATTAGGATTGCATTTTTTTTACATCGTTACTAATTTCACACTGAGGGAGAGCCATACCTCTCTATTTCACCTCCAAAAAATTCCAAGGACAAAAGGATCCCAGTCTTTACTTAACAGCTACATTCCATCTCACAGTACTGACAAATGAAGTTGAATTATTTCAAAAACAAATAGAGAGAGAGCTCATCAAAGCCTCTCGTTACTTACACGTGCTTTCCTCTGATTAATATAAGGCAAACTGATTCCATAGCTGGCATTGACCGCGGCTCGGTGGTGGCTGTTCTCCGGATCCTGCAAGATTTTCATGTCCAGCCCTATCTTTTGCTGAAACAAAGAAACAATTAAACTTTCATGTCGGATGAACAAAAATGCTTACTACCATCCTACATCCTCAGAGGAATATAAAGTTCTTTAAAAATAATTATTTGAATGTAATTCTCCCGGGGGGGGGGAATGAATTCGGATCTTTTATTGAGGCTGCGTACATTAGTCCCTTTTATTCACTGGAAGGGGACTTTCTGCAGATTTCTCTACAGATCACATCGCTCACACAAACACATCCTCGGATGCTGCTCATCTTTAAGAAATGAGCGCCAGAGGTGAGCCACGGTGGACAAAGGACCAGAATACCTGCTCTGAGTTTGTGGTTCACTTTCCAGGTCAAGGATTTTGTCTGTGGAATCTATACTACAGACAGACAGGTAGAGGGCTCCCTCGGTCTGCTCATGCGGCCACCTTCCTGCGGGGACACGTACAGGTGAATCTCAGTTTGGACCTGGTCAAAGTTACTGAAGCAAATTCACCTGCTACTCCTCAGAGATTTTGCTCTCCGTGAAAATAACCTAGGCTTTCATTAGAAAAATAAGAGCATCTTGTTCGAATCACTTATTCCTCACATGAAGTGATTCAGATTTAGTTACTTCTGAGATGTTTAAAAATAAAGCACAGGCGTGGCGGGGGCAGGATCATGATGATGGGGAGAGGGTAGGGACTGGACCCTGGACTGCCGTGCCAGACCTGGGGTAGTCCCCTCACCTCTCTGGGAGTCAGTCTTTATTTGCAAAAGGGAGTGGCTGGGTTTGATGGTCTTTTGAGGAATTATCCCAAGCTTTGGCATTCAAGATGCGAGGCCGAAAGATAACCTGGCACTTAGGGAATATGGTATTGGCGACAATTTCTGAAATAGTCTGTGATTTTTTTTTTCATTGTGATATGATCATACACCATAAAATTCACCCTTTTGAAGTGTGCGGTTCAGTCCCTGCAGCATAGACTGCATCCCCCCAACTCCAGGATACTTCCTCACCCCTCACGCGACCCCACTCCCTCCTGCCCTGAGCCCCCACCCCACTCCACCATCGCAGGCAGCTGCTCCCCGACTTTCTGTCTCTGTGGGTAGAAAACAGTCTAGTCAGCTCACAGAAATGGGACCATTCCAGAGGCGGCTTCTGAGACTGCAAGTACCCTGGGCAACTTTAAAAACTGGTTTCCTTTCATTGTGTGCCTTGGTTCGGAGGGGGGATCTGAGGCCCTGGTTAAATTTGTTGTGGGAACCAGACCTCTGCAAATGGCCTGCGCCTGAGGTCAAAGTCAAGAGGGAGGCCACAGAAACATCTCTGGAATGCAAGCCCTCTAGAGAAGCTATTTCTTAACACTTGTTCCAAAGCTTCCCTTGACTTTTTTCTTTTCACAGTGTTTTCATATGCAAATCTCCAAAGAACTGCCTTCAGCGTCCACTCCGTCCACGTCCACTCCGTGGAGCCCAGGCAGGGACGCGGGGTGTAACAAGGCACGTCCTGTACCTTTCTCCTTGAGGTACACGTGGTGGTGACAGAAGTGATCCAGTGCCTAATTATAAATGGCTTCCCTCCTGTGGGTAACCCACACTCTCAGCACTACTCCGGGGTTTTTGCATGGAAACCGGGTGCCTCTTTTATTGAAATTAATACCTGAACATAATTTTTTCCTTCTTAATTAAACTTCCGGAATAATTTCCATTCCACCAAGGATGGGAAAATTGCTAATATGTGTTACACTGACTGGATGTGGCTTCTGTAATTAGGGCATTTTGAAAATGTGTGTTCTGGATACACACGATGAAAATAGCTTCATCTGTCACGTCTAAGCTTTGTTAGAACTTTCAGATTCTGGGATCCGGGCTCGGCGAACCGCAGCGGTCTTCTGGGCTTCATCACACACCGTCAACTTCGTGTGGCTATCAGGCCAGGGCAGGAAGGAAATCACCAAACATAGAATCGCTGCTAAAACTGGCATCAAAATCTATTTGTGTTTTGCCCATTTTTACATGTCTGTGGTACTGGACACACAAAGTTCCAAAAGAGACATCAGTGGGCGAGTAGAAATCCAAGTGAAATGGGGGGGGGGGGGTACCAGTTCTTTACTGTTGGCTTCTAATTGCCCACTGGAAGGATCACATCATCGACAGTGTAATATCTGATATTTCAGTGCCAAAGCACGTGAATGCCAACATAGTAATATGTGCGACATGTGATGTAATTTCCCTTTCAAAAACACATATTAAAGGTATCTATAGGGCCAGCGCCGTGGCACGGTAGGTTTATCCTCCGCCTGTGGCACCAGCATCCCATAGGGGCCCCGCTTCTAGTCCTAGCTGCTCCTCTTCCAGTCCAGCTCTCTGCTGTGGCCCAGGAAGGCAGTGGAGGATGGCCCAGGTGCTTGGGCCCTGCACCCGCATGAGTGACCAGGAAAAAGCACCTGGCTCCTGGCTTCAGATCAGCGCATATCTGGCCGTTGTGGCCATATGGGGAGTGAACCAAGGGAAGGAAGACCTTTCTCTCTGTCTCTCCCTCTCACTGCCTATAACTCTACCTCTCAAATAAATAAATAAATAAACATCTTTTTTTAAAAAAAAAAAGTATCTATGTTTAAATAATGTTGACATATCAAATGGTTTCATTGGCAATTACTACCAAATACATTCAAAACCTGAATTCGTCTTTTCAACCATGGACAAAGATGGGCAGGAAAAGGTTTCCAAGCATAAGCTGCGTTACCAGACATGGAAATAAGATTTTCCAAGAAAAATAATTATAGATGTAGAAAACAAAAACAAAATTAATCATTCCACTGAGCAGAGAAGCACACTTTGGAAGATGAGCATTTTTGACCACTAGTCCAATAAATATCAGAAATCATTCCAGAGATATTTCTTAAATTGGTCAAAAGACAGCAATGGGTGTCATCTATCTTGAGCCACTGAACAATCTCAACTTCGTATTCTCCCCTTTTGATAGTAATTACAAGCAGATATATCAAATGTGACTCTCATTTAGACTTCGGTTTGTAAGAACAAAAGTTATTATCAGAGCCAATTACTGTTTTACCTACATGGCTGCACAGAAGCAGGGAGCTCAGTTTTCATCTCATCAGTGATTTTGTGGTATTTATTTTATGACTATGCCCACAAAGCTATATAAGAAGGAAATAGCTTATGCTATTAAAACTAGGATTGGAATATAAGAGGCTAAGGTTTCTCTTAGAAGAACTTCTGAATTAAAAACACTAGGCAGCGTATAATGCCAGCTCCCCAGACATGGGCAGACCATAAAATGACACACATCTGAGCAGTAGATCCCACACAGAGTAATCAAAATTGAAATGCTTCACAAACAAAGTTGAGAGAGGCTATTTACTAAGTTACAGTATTATCAGCATAACATTATTCTCAACAGTGGCTGCTACAAAAACATCTTCTAAAGTGGATATTGCTTAATATCGTATTCCCACTGGTTAAAGACATCTCCGGTTTAATTTCCAAACCGCAGAAAATAAAAATAGGAAGAGAATGCAGTCACCTTTAACACCCACGCTCTCGACCATCGTGATGCATAATGGAAAAACAATAGGCACCGAGTCTCTGTTCAAGCCATGCCATCCAGGGTTCCTTTGGAAAGCTGCCTAACAATGCCTGCTTCCCAGGGTTGTTTGTGAGGCCTGGGGGACGAATGTGCGGTAAGGTTCTGCTAAATTCTCAAGCACTCTTCGGGAGCTGACGAGGTAGGTGGTGCCACTGACCAAGATATCCTGGCTGCCATGGTCTGACACTCCATGAGCTCTTTTTTTTTTTTTTTAGATTTATTACTTATTTGAAAGAGTTACAGAGGCAGAGAGAGAGAGAGAGAGAGAGAGGTCTTCCACCCGCTGGTTCACTCCCTAACTGGCTACACTGGCCGGAGCTGCGCAGATCCGAAGCCAGGAGCTGGGAGCTTATTCTGGGTCTCCCATGCAGGTGCAGGGGCCCAAGGACTTGGGCCATCTTCTACTGCTTTCCCAGGCCATAGCAGAGAGCTGGATTGAAAGTGGAGCAGCCAGGACTCAAATCAGCGCCCATATAGATGCTGGCACTGTAGGCTGCGGCTTTACCTGCTACGCCACAGCACTGGCCCCTCTCTTGAGCTCTTAATCTGTCTCCTCTGTCCCCAAAATTTAAATGGATGAACTGATCCAAAAATTGATAAAAGAAGGAAGCCAAGAGTTATTTGACTTCTCCAGAAAAATTCTCTTTCATAGTTATCAAAGAGTTGCTATGGAAATGCTAAAGGAATGGTAGAATTCTAAAATCAGCACTTTGCAACCCCTAATGAGATAATGCATTTAGGCAAATGTCAGTGTTTGCTAACAGCACTAGGTGAAAACTTGCGGGTACTTTTAGAAAGGACAGCTAGAGGCCGGCGCCGCAGCTCACTAGGCTAATCCTCCACCTGCAGCGCCGGCACACCGGGTTCTAGTCCCGGTTGGGGCGCTGGATTCTGTCCCAGTTGCTCCTCTTCCAGTCCAGCTCTCTGCTATGGCCCGGGAAGGCAGTGGAGGATGGCCCAAGTGCTTGGGCCCTGCACCCACATGGGTGCCAGGAGGTAGTGACCATTTGGGGGGTGAACCAATGGAAGGAAGACCTTTCTCTTTGTCTCTCTCTCTAACTCTGCCTGTAAAAAAAAAAAAAAAAAGGACAGATAGAGCTGATATTACCTGGACTCATGGACTGACCTTAACATTATTAAAAGAAAAAAAAGCAGCCTCCTGATGGGCTCTAAAAGGAGCAGCACCGTAGAAGTATTCCTGGGTCAGGCCACCGCCGGCCGCACTGGCACCCCAAACCTGGGCACCAGCGCCAGTCCTGGCTGCTCCCTTCCCACCCAGCTCCCGCTAATGCGCCTGGGAAAGCAGTGGATGACGTCTCGAGTGTGGGGCCCTTGCACCCATGTTGGAGACCTGGATGGAGTTCCAGGCTCCAGGATTCAGCAGGGCTCTGCCCTGGCTATGGTGGTCATTTGGGGGGGAACCAC